CGCGACATTGAAACGGTGGAGCAGGAAAAGCAGGGAAAACAGTGAAAACAGTGAAGGAAAATGAGGGAAAAGTAAAAATGTGACGCCAGTAATAAAGCAGGCAGCCAGCGACTTAATTAGCAGAAAGAGCCGTCTGGAGGCCTCTTCCCAGGGTGGTTTCCAAAAAGTTGCCCAAACTTGGGGCCAAAGTTTGCAGTTTTAAAGAGTAACGACACCGGCAAGGATACCCCGAAAAGAGTCCAACAAGTTGGCCAGCGAGCAAGGGGGCGGACGGGGGGGCGGCAATAATTTGAACAGGTCTCAAGTTGATCATTAGCATATTTCATAGGCGGCCACCCTTTCCCTTTCTCCGTGCCTTTCTCCGTGCCTTTCTCCCTGCCTTTCTCCCTGCCTGCTGCACGTCGACGTCTTTGACGCGCCCAAAAATGCACTGAGCCGTGTGACCCATTTAGCCAAGTCACCGCCCCATCCCCACTCCCATCCTGCCCCCAATCTCTGCGAGTTTCTGGAAAAAAATGAGTTGCAACTATTTGTGGCAGGCATCTGCCTCGCATAAAATGATTTGAGGAAAGAGCTCCCAGCACACAATTTCATATGCCCCAAAGGTTGAGCAGAAGTTGCATTTTGAGCAGGTTTAAACCGAGGAAGAGCTAGCCAAGAATGGCCCCATAAGTACAGCAGATTATTGGCAAGAAGTTGCCCCAAAAGTTCGTGGCAAAAGCAGGGCAAAAGGGGGGACTTTAAAGGGGACTTTGGAAGAAGGAAACTGGCGAAGGGACACTCAATACCACCTTAAGATATGCCTCTTTTGTACTTATTAATCCATTCCATAGAATATTCCGCCCCGGGCTCGCCCCGTCACGTTTCATTGGGCCTTGGACACTCCCGGGTGGCAGCTGGCCCACGAATTAGCCCCCAAATTGGTGCAAAGGGTTCCACTCGCATCGCTCCATTTCCGTGTAATGTTTTCTTGCTTTATTTGGCATGTTAATAAACTTGAAAGTGTTGGCCGGCCACCCGGCAGAGTCGGCGGGGAGGCCACTCAACCAGTCTGTCTATAACCCACGGCCAGAGCCACGCCCAGGACCCACTCATGCATATGCATGGACCCTGGCCATAGCATACTCTCGAGAGCAGTTGACTCAGCTGCCCAGTGGACGAGGACGAGGACGTGGATTGTGTTGTGCACCTTTTGCCGAGCACCGACCACCGAGCACCGAGCACCTCTCGCATTTATTCCTCCTCTCCGCCAGGGCTCTGGTAACATACCAATTAATTTTTATTTATTTTAATGCTGGTCTCTCTTTCACTCCCTCTCTCTCTGGGGGCATAGCACAGTTCCCATTTCCCCCCCACTTTCTCCCACTTTCCAGTTACAGTTTTGCCATTTCTGTTTCAGTTACAAATTTATGCATTACTTGCATTTTATTGACCCACTTTAATTCGTTCTTTTTTGCTTTTGTTTTCGTCCGACGACAACGACCAAAATGTTGAAATTAAATTCCGGTTTTTTTCTACAACTTTATTTTTGGGGTGCAAATTTTGAACCATAGAAATAATACGCGCTGTCGGTCCTAGTCGACCCCACAAAAACAACGAGCCATCCATTCTTTTGAGTTTTCTGTTTTCTGCCATTTTTATGGTTTTTTTGCAAAGTTTTTTGAACAACAGCCCAAAAGTTGGGAGCAAACTTTCGAGTCCTTTCAGGGTTTCTGTTTCTATTTCTGTTTTTTGGAACTATAACATTTATGAAAACCCCCTGGAAAATTGCTTAGATTTCTGGCTGTCAATTTTCGATGGTTCCCTAATTAGAAACGAAGGATGGCACGCGATGGACATTTTTCAACAGCCTGAAAGGTTGCCAGGGGCAATAGACGGCGAGGGGGGGCTATAAATGATTGACAGACAGGTGGAATGGCTACAAATCTCAGAGAGATTAAAGTATTTCAGCCAGCTGTTTGATATTTTCCCACGAAAGTTTTCGGGGGCTCCATCGATGAGTGGGGCTCATTGGGGGCATTCGGGGCAGGTGCAAGGCGTTCAAGTGGCACGAAATAAGTTATACAAGTTGTAAAGTTATTCATTCGCCGACAGTTCACAGGGGCGTGCCAGGGGGCGGCTAATTAGGTTTGAAATTCCTTCGCAGTTGATTAAATTGTTGTCACGAAGTCATCGCTTATTCATTTGCTTTAGCCAAACATTTCTGAATAATTAATCTTGTGTCTCTGGCAAAAAGTTCGAAGCATGTGTCTTGATGGAAATTTAATGAGAAATACTTGCAGGAATTTCCCAATCCCTGAGGAAGATAATTTTCATTACTTGAACAATGAACTGCCTTTTGGAGGGTATCTTTTTGGACATATTTTGAAGGTCTTCCCCTTGGATTTGGGCGAGTATCCGCTTTGTTGGCGACTCCCAAGAGTTCGAATCAATTTCTGCCATATTTTTGGAGCATTTTCTGGCTCTCTGAACATAAATCAAATCCCATATTTTTCTGCGGCTCAAACTGCGGCTGTGCAGCCGAAATTGGTTTTAATGAAGCGTGGCCCAGGCCGCTTCTTGGCTTTAAATTGATTGGCGTGCGGCAGAGGGCGGCGGCGGAATGGCGCTCTCTGTGATATTTGTGGCATCCAGCATTGAGCATGGATGCTCCATGAATCTGCTGAGGTGTGAATGCCCCCGAAAATGTTATTGGGGCACGTTCGCGAATCGGCTCGTGAGCAATTAGATGCAATAAATCAGGGCTGCTTATCTCGTTGGGTCTCGCAGTGGTCTGCGGGCCGCCACTTGAGGATATGGGCCCCCCTCCCTCCCTGGTGCAGGGCCACCTCCCAGGGAGGCGCACATGCCACCGTTTAATGCTAGTGCAGGGGGGTGGGGGGCAGATGGATTTACTACCATTTACTCGAGGATTATTGTCGGGCCGAGGGCTTCCCTTTGTTAAAGCTGGCTTAACATTTTCCGCCTCTCAGCGCCTGCGACTCCATTATGCCCGACAATGCCGACACACGTAGGACCCTAATCATAATGCCACGCATCACTTTTTATGTGCCGCAACCCAAGAAGAGAGCCACAAAACAGCACTGAGGGGGGGAGGAGGGGGAACAAATGAACCCCAAATGATAAATTAAGAGCCACCAGAGGGGCGCAGGGACACAGGGGGGGGGTCTGCCGCCAACAAACAAGTCACTTGCAGGCGCCAGTGGAGCGGAAGTGAAAGTTCAAATGGGAGCAGAATCTGTGGCTCAGGTGTGAAGTAACTGAGATTTGGTGTCACTTTCCTTGGACATGAGCGGAGGGATTGGGCCGGGGGGGGCTGCTGTTTATTGCGAATAAACTTGGCATATGTCGGCGGCAGTTAATTATGCAAATACAAATGCAAAAGTCCTGTCTATCCAGCCGGAAAACGGGAGTACTCGTACGATTACAGCTCAAATCAATTAGCAGCGACAGCGGCAGGAAATGAGCATAGAGAGGGGGGCGGAGGGGGGCAGGGAGCGTGGGGCCATCCGGTTTATGGCTTGATTTATGCAACTAATTAGCTAAAGCATAATTTTCGGTGAATATTATTATTTTATCAAGCGATTTGCGGCACGAGCATAGGGGGGGGGGGCACGGCCAATGCTACGGGTACTCCAGCTCCAGCACAGCCATCGACTAATTATCGTCCTGCATAAATCATATTGTCTTTATTGATGTATGATGATGAGAGCCTGCCCCCCCTCCCCCCCTCAGTGCCCCTCCACATACGAGTCTGTGGCTGTGGATCATCAGCCCCATAAAAGTCAATTAGGGCTCTGGCTGGGGCTTAGAGCAAACACAAAGTTTATCGCGAAAGTGTTGATTGATAAATTGACTGATTGATTGATTGATTGATTGCCGGCTAGTTTGATCGTTAGGAGCAATCAAAAATAAACAAAAAGGCTCAGAGTTTCCCCCCCCCACTGGCCGCTGCTGATGTCATAAATGGAGATTAATCATGCTTCTGATGGGCATTTGGGGCACTGACATTGTCCGACATGGCCGGCACTTAAGCGGCTTTTGCTTTGGCGACAGTGCATTGCATTGTCAATAATTGTTCCTGGTTTATGCGCACAATTTAGTGCTTAAATTTGTTTGGGCCCCACACACACCCCCCACCCCCCCGAAGGCAGGGGCAGGATGCCTTTCATACGAATAACCCGATAAAAGTCCTTTGTTTGAGGGTTTCTTGGGCTAGAATTGGGCTTTAAATTTGGGCCCCGTTTATCTTTATTTGGATGCCACGCTTCGTGGCAAGCGTGCAATCAGTTATGCTGTTTATTTTCCAATAAATTGATTAAAATTTAAATAGTATTCCGCATCGTTGCTGCCAGGCAAGCGAGTCCATTAGGTTCCAAATTCTCTTTTTTTTCCGCTTTCAACTTTTCGCACCGCAAAACATTACTTAATTAATTTGCACGCACATTCCATAGATAGTTTGACACGATTCTTTTTCAATCGCTTTCAGTTAATTGATTGCATATTCCATTAATCAGTGGGGGGGGAGGGTGGAGTGGGGGGCGGGGGCTGTATATTAATTAAAGCATTCGCACGAACACTTTGATTATGATAAACTGGCATTTAAGCGGCACCACACACACACACACACACACCAGCACACACACACACACATTACAGCTTTATCTGGTTTCTATTTTTTTTATTTTTTTTTAATTTAATTCTTTGCGTTATTTATTTCGATCAAAAATGATTGCCGTGAAAATGTTGGGTGCTCTATCGGGCATCAGGCAGCAAGCGGCAGGCAGCAGGCGGCAGGCAGCACATAAATTCTCGGCTATCATATCACATTAAAATAATTTATCTTCTTGCGTTATTTGTGGATGTTACAGCTGTGCCGTGGATGTGTGACACTCCAGGAGGACACTCTTGATTGGCCCTCGTCTAACTTTACATTTCGGGTGTAATTTCTCAGGCACGAACAGAGACGCACACGCACACGAACACACACACACACATACACTTGGACATGCCCCAAGCACACACGATACACGACACACGGATGCCGAGAACGCGCACTCCGCCGTCAACAACTCAGAAAGTACTGACTGCCACATCCACAGCCCATCCAAAGGCTCCACGGATGCTGGACAGTACAGCAGTAGCCATAACAGTAGCCATAACAGTAGCTCTAACAGTAGCAGTTACTGCTAAGCCCCAGCCCCTGCCGCTGCTACGCTTCCTAATGCGATAACAAGCAGTGCAGTCTCTTACGGCTCTTCTTCAGTAGGTTAGTAGGTTGCCGCCTGCCGGCCTCTGGAGGGAAATTTACTCTTGGCCAGAGAAAGCCGGCTGCTGTTAGCGCCCCCACAGCGATGTTAATCAGAAGTTGGTAGCACTGCTTCCCACGGCGGAGATGTCCACTCAACAAGTCCATGTACTTCACACATTTGGTGGGAATTGTAGTGCCTTTGGGGGGTCTAGGATTTATGTGTGTGTCCAACGAACAAAAGAAAGATACATATTTCTTAAGAAAAAGACCGACAACAGTCCTAAGGAAACCATAAGTAACAAATTACGGCTAAAATGTTAAAATATATTCCCAAAATTCGCTAACAAATACTAGTATTTTCTTATAAAAATTTCAGTTCGAAATAATTTGTATTTCGTTGAGAAATAATCGCCTTAGTCGAATAAAGTAATGCCTTTTGTATAACAGCCAAAGCAGAGAGCAGTTTGCTGTTAAGTTAAGCTTAACATAAGTTTGCTAACATTAACATTGCTGCCCATTTAAAATATCCCTAACAGCATTACACTCTTAATTCTGCCATCCGCTGTTACTCCTGTTAACAGCTGCTGCCATTCTCTCGTCTGTTAAGCAGCTCCTATGCATAGCTATGGCTCTGTAATCTCTTTAACAGTCGCAGTCATGACTCTCTCTAACAGCCTCACTTTCGCTGTTAAGCCGCTCAACGGCTAGCATTTACTGTATAATCCAATGCCCAATTCAGAATTCCAAGAAAAGTAAATTAAATTATTTTCAGTAAATCTTCGACCTACGTATTTTTGGGTGAAGAAATTTTTAATTATTTCAGCAGTGGATATTATTCAATAAAATTATACTTTTAAGCTGGCGATTTAAGCCTTAAAGGCTGCCGCCTGACGCCCAGGCCGACTTGGAAAATGTCCCCATAACTCATGTACGTACGTGTGTGTGTGTGTGACGATTGTTGCATAATTTAAGTGCCGCACAACAACAACAAAAAAGGTAAAAAAAGCCTGGAAAGTTGGAAAATGATTTAAGCCGTTCCGGAGTCAGGGTCCCAGGTCCAGGCCTGTCTGCACGTGTGTGTGGTGTGTGGTGTGTGTGTGTGTGGTGTGTGCGTGCCTGGGACTCGCCATTACTTTGTATTTAATAAAACAATGTTGTCGACGCCCCAACCTGAGTGTTTCTGCTGTCCCCGTCAAAGGCATTATACGGCCGGAGCCCTTAAAAAACGTGGCCATCGCTGTGCAGGCCTGTCGAAAGTCAGAAACAAGCTTTCACTTAACGAAAGCGAAAAATAGTGCACGAGAGTGTGTGTAATCCCATAAAAATTATTTATTTTGTGCGTATTGGTTGCCTTTTTTTTGTTGATTATTTGCTTTGCGCATTGCATTGGCTTTTTGAATCGGTGTAAACAAAAGCAGATGCTGAAATGGTTTTTCTTGTATTGTTTTTGCCTTTACTTACGCTTCCCCGAATCTCTGAATATTGTATTCAACGATATGCCACTTACCTGCAAAAAAAAAGATACAGATAAACAGATTTAATTATGAAATTCGTGTTTGTCTTTCGTTCAATGAAAATACGGAATACAGATTTATGCAGAATTATGTCATAGATTTTCGCAAGACAAACAACTGGAAGTCCAACTAGTTCAGACCCGGCCCAAAGGCTCTGCCTGGCACCCAGCACCGGGCCATTATGATCGAACACGGCCAGCAATTGAGCGTCGCGGGGGGGGGGGCACAAATCATTTCGATTCGATGGAACCTGCCAGTCGGTCGGTGTATCATACATTTCCGCAATGGATTCATGGCCTGCCTCTTGGTCCGCCTCTGCTGTGGCATTTTGCTGGCAGGCAAAACATCTTGCCCCCGCCCCATGTCTGGCAGAAACCGCAGAAATGCATTACGCCCCCCCCCCCCGCCCCCCAGAAAGTGTTGCGAAGAGAGAAGAGGAGCTTAAGTTTTCGCCAATGTTTGTGGATGTTGACTAAATTCATATATAAGAGAGTGAGAGAGAGAGTCCGGGCTAATATCAAACGGAAGTGCCAAACACAACCACACAGAGACAGAGACAGGCATGTATCTGCATCTCTTTCGTTCTTTGGGCCATACATCTTGAGCTTGAGCTGGCAACATCGCTTTGGCTGCACTTGGCTTCGGTTTCCGTACACATTTGAGAAATGCATGTGGAAAATGCCAGCCACTGACTGCATTTGTAACTGTAACTGTAACTCTCCCTCTGTATCTGTATCTGTATCTGTGGGAGTGTGCGTGCGTATCTGTGTGTGTGTGTGTGTCTGTCTTGGCTAAGCGGCGCATTTCCTGGCCTGTGCCATCAACTAAATAGCATTCATTTACGTTGATTTATGCCGACTGAGAAAAGAGTCTGTGGAAAGAGGAGCCTGTAACGGGGAGCCTGTAGCCGGGAGCCTGTAGCCGGGAGCATACTTTTTGTGGGGAAATTTATGCCCCAAAAGTGACACTTTAAAGTTGCAATAAAACCCGAGTGTCTTCGGTGTACCCGTTTTAAGGTTATTTATTGTTGCAAGTCAGCGATGTAATTACTTTTTCAACACGCACTTGATAAGGGACTGCCCTCCGTGCTCCCCGCTCTCCTCTTCGCAGGTCAAATGCCAATGGCTGCATCTTTGTCAATTGCCAAGTGCAATTGATAAATTGGCAATGGAGAGGCAAGGAGCGATGCTCCATTCCCATCCCCATTCCCATCCCCATCCCCACTTCTACTTATTCTAGTTCTTTTGCTGGAGCTTCTTTCTGTCATTGACAGTTCAATGTGCGCACTGATGCGCAAATATCAACTCCAATACACACTCGCAGGACTCGCAGGACTCGCAGGACTCCCCGGACTCGCAGGACTCCCACAGACCACATTCGCGTTCGGATACTCGGGTTTTTGCCCATTTTCACTGCGCTTTTTATGGCAGTTCGTGACCGAGTTGCATTTCTCCTTCGTCCTCGATTTTCGCTGTGCTTTCCTTTTTGCTCCTTTTTGTCTTTGAAATTGAATTAGTGGCATTGGCAGTTGGGCTTCCTAATCTTCGAATGGTTTAGCCGGCTGCCAAGTAATGGATGTGATAATTTGCTGCGAAAACCCAGCAGCAGCTGGCAACCAGTTCATTAAAAGTTAGAACCAGATTTCAGAGGGTTCTCTATCGAGCATCTGAAATGTGGGACATTGTCTCAACGGGTCGCATACCTTTGATCAATATCTGGGGGCCAGCACCCCCCTCCAGCAGCCCCTCCCTCCATTGTTATTAACAAACAAATTTGATAGAGGAAAAAGCTCTTTATTTGGAAGGCAATACACACGGCAGACCTGCATGCGGAGCTCAAGCCACAAAAGTGCGCATATAAAAGATCTCATAAATTGAAATAAATAAGGAAAATAACAATTTCTACAGCACACACACGCACACACACACACACACATGCACATAGTGCAATAAATACTGGCAGGGGGGGGAGGGAGGGAGGATCCCCCAAACCCCCATCTAGACCTTGGCTGTAATATTCATAACTCTTTTCAAATGTGGTCAAGTGCTGCTGCTGCTGCTGCTGTCCTCTTAGCCGGCTCCGCATGTGTGTCCAGAGCTGTGGCCAGAACCAGAGCCAGGGCCAGGGCCAGGACCAAAACCAGAACGATTCGACAGCTTTTGATATTGCCCTGTCCCTGGACAATCCAGAATCCCCACCCCACTCTCTCCTCCACTCTCATTCTCGAATAGCAATAACTACAGTTGACTGGGCTTTGAATCTAAGCCTGGCCGACACGACCTGACTTGATTTTGAGCGTCGAGAGCTGAGAGCTGAGAGTAGAGAGCCGAGAGAAGGTTGGAACATTTTATTAAAAACGAGCTGAACGATGGATGGACATGGAATATAGTACGAAAATTGCCACAACAAGATGCATTTCTCGCCACGTTCTCTGGCAATTGTAAAAATGAAGTCCAAACTGTGGCACCCCTCCCCTCCCCTCCCCTCCCCTCCGCCCCCGAACCCCGGGTACATTTGCCTCTTCTTCTGTTGCATTGTCTGGCGATTTATGGATTTTATTTGGCCACTTTTTACTCTTGTTGGCATTTGTCGCCTTTTGTATATTGTTAGCTTACTGCAGACTGCCCTCCAGCTCCAGCTACAGCCACGTACGTGCCATGGTATGTCCTGCAGGGGCTATCTTTTGTCGCACATATACTCTAGATACATATATGTATGTGTATGTTGTGGTAGGGCGGGAGTTTATGGGATTGCGACAATTGCCTTGGCCATGAAATGGCAACTTTATAGCCACATCACAGCACAGGAATATATATATATTTTTTGAAGGGAGAACAAGTCGTAATTGAAGGGGATTTGGGATGTATTGGGGAGCTTACCCTCCTCCCGCCCCTTGGAACCCCTTCTCCGGCAATGGCAGCCCCTTTTCCACCTTATTAACCCACTTGAAAGTTGGCCGAGACCCAAAAACTAATCTGCCATCAGTTGAATTCTAATTAAATTCACACTTTGGTTGCCACGCCAGACATATGTTTGGGTCAGCCACAAGGGGGGAAGGAGAATCCCAGGGAGGACCCCCCATTAAACCCTTAAAAGCAATTACAACACATTTTAGGTATTTATGGAACAATAAAACGTTTAGGCACGAAACGTGGGCCAAAGCAAAGCCAAAGAAACAAACATTTTTAAATTCTTTTAAACTTAGAAAAAGTTTGGCATAAAAAACTGAGTGTAAACGGAAATAAAATGCTACAAAATAATAAAATGTTGTCTTGC